CTCTCTCTCTCTCTCTCTCTCTCTCTCTCTCTCTCTCTCTCTCTCTCTCTCTCTCTTGATACCGGGATCAAAATCAGGTCCTCGTGCTTGTGAGGCAGGGGGCAGAACCACTGAGCTAAATCCCCAGGAGCTATGCAGTCCCTTTAGCAAGTTATTTTATCTGTTGAAGACTTTATTCGTTCATCTATAAAGTAACAAAATATAGAACAGTTACAAATTAAACAAACAAACTGCCAGATAAAGTACTTGGCACACAGTATCCATTCAGTAAATATTAAATATTATACTGGTGATTATTTATAAGCCATCCCTACTTCCTTCATCCTTTCCTTTGCTGCCTTACCAGGCATCTCTCCATGCCAACTCCATGGCACCATCAGTCAGGGAAATACTGAGGGGGCTGAACTGCTAGGAGCCAGGTCCATCTTCTAGAATACTGCTTCGAGGGAAGAAGAAACAGCTGTGGCCCCAGCGTCTGCCCCAGGAGAATGAGCACACAGAGACTTTCCTCCTGGAGAAAACGAGGTGGTGACCTTTGGAAATAATTAGGGTTAGAAGAGCTCACGAGGTCGGATCCCTATGATGACATCAATGGCTGTCTAAAAAGAGGAAGGCAGAAAGGGAGGAAGGCAGGAAGACAGGAAGGCAGACTTGAGCTGGCAGCTCACTCTGTCTTGTGATGTGATGCCTGGTGCCATGTTATGGGGCAGTATGAGGACCCTCGCCAGATGCCAGTACCATCTCTTGGATTTCCAGCCTCTAGAACTATATGCCAGTAAACTTCTCTTCTTTATAAATTCCCCAGTCTTGGGTGTTTTGTTTAGCAATCGAAAGCAGACTAAGACATTCTTCTATCTTTCAGAGGGAAGCTGCGGCACAGAGAGACAGTAGGGTTCAACCAAAGGCACCTATTTCAATAGGGGCAAACCCATGGCCAAGTTTTGCCAGGTCTGTACTCTTGGTTCAGGACATCTTTTATTACTAGTGCTTGGCAATGTGTTCTCAGGAATAACTGCTCTATCGGTATCCTCTATTTTACATGATAAAAGGATCCTAGGCCCACCTGATTTGGGCAACTCTGAGTTAACTGTGTTATTAGATAGGTAACTATGCCCTTTGTAGAATGTACCTGAATAGCCATGACAACTTCTATAAGCTGTCACCAAAGGAGCACAAGGGACTCAGAACTCCTGCCAGAATTCTTTGCTCTCCCCCGCCTCTAAGGTTCTGTTTTGTGGAAATCCTGCTTGCTATGTTCCCAGGGAAACTCCAGTGGAATTAGGCTTTGTAAATGTAAAAAGAGGTACATAAGGAGGCACAAACATCAATTCGGGGCTCTCAAGACTGATAGGAGTCACTCGCTGAGCCATGGGCATTAAAAGCTGCATTTTGTTCCTGTCTTCCTGTTAAGAGTGGCCTGTCTGGAGTCCCCACAGTTTCCTGCTTCAATGGGGGCTGAAGCCCATGGCCCTGGCCCCATCTGTCCCTACTGCATTCACATGAGGCTTTCCCCCCATCAATGGATTTGCATGACTTTGACTCTCACTAGCTGAATGCCCTTGGCAATTTATGTCCTCTGAGACTCCAGTCTTTCATCTGTAAAATGGGGTCATACCATCTGCCTTACCAGCCATTGTAATGATTATGTGAGCAAACCCACACTAGGTTCCCTGCAGAGGACCTGGTAAGTAGATACCCAGCAAACAGCAAGTATTACTACCACCAGCCACTGCAGCTTCAGACTTGCTCTGTCCACCCTGAATTTGCCATGATGACCCTGTGGTCTCCCCTTCTCATTTCCTGGTCATCCACTGTTCTCTGTGTGGCGTGATAAGAAATACGCTTATTTTTTGTCCCAGTGCTTAGCACACAGCACTTAAAAACTTGGGGTTTCCTGAATGATAGGAGAGTTCTTTTTTTGTTCTACGCTGAGAATTGAACCCAGAGCCTTCACAAGGAGTTACATCCCAGCCCTGTTTAATTTCCTAATTTTAAAATGATGTCTCAATAAGTCACTAAATTGTCCAGGGTAGGCCCAAACTTGCAGTCCTCCTGCTTTCCAGAGTGCTGGGATTGCAAGCCTGTCCTAAACCTGGCTGAGTATTATTCGTAAGGAAATCTTTTTGATCCCACCAGAGTCTATACTCATGCAGTAGCTTAGGGTAGGGCTCCCAGAGGAGAGCGTCAGAGGAATCCCCACTGTATAACTGGCCAGTTCAAAGTGCAGGCAGAAACCTGGGGCTTGCATTTGTCATGTGAACCAGGAGCAGAGCTGAAGGTCTGAGCCCTTCAACTTGAGGATCTGATGATGTCCCCAGGTAGATGGTGTCAGCGTGGAATGGAATTGTAGGACATCCAGTTGGTGTCCCAAAGAATGGAGGAGTGTATTTTAGTGTTGGCGAAATCTTGTCTTGGCTTTCTGAACAAAATGGGTGAGCACAAAAGGTAGCTTTCTTCTCCAAAGGCCACTTGCACTGCTGTTTCAAGTATAGCTCCTCTGGACAGATGAGAGCTTGAAGAAATAGATCCCAATTGCTTTGGAATCTTGCAGTCATAAGGAAAAGATGGAAGGAATCCAACAGGAACTGGCCTAGAACCTGGCACTGCTGAGTTGCTAGGTAGCACCACTAGGCAGACACCAGTCCCTGGGATTGGGTTCAGCTCATTTGGCAAGACCAGTCTTTCTGTGCCAACCACTCAGAATTCATGGGGCTGAGTACTAATTAGATAGATCTACAGTTAAGGACAAAAGACCGTCATGGTGATTTTGCCTCATCACCACATCTGTAGGAAAAAAAAAATTAAGCTTGCAAATGTGAAGAGCCTTGCTTCAGCTGGTGCTCTGAGGACTGGGTCCGGGTCTCAGCTCTGATGGCTCATCCAGCAGCTGTGTAGTAAAGTGATTCCTATGTCAGTTCTCCTTCAGGCTGAAGGAGTATAGTTGCATTCAGACCGCAGGGCCTCTGTGAGATGGTGGCTGCAAAGAGCTCTGCACACTCAGACCATCATTCCTGAGCTTTTAATAACTTGATGGTTGCAGTGAGTGAGTGATAAGCCTCACTGCCCTGGAATCCAGAGGAATGAAGAGAAGCTTCTGGTCACTTCCTCACAGTCAGACCCAGGGTCCTGTGACGGGGCCCATGGCTAGGACTACAAGCCTCTGGGCTCACATGAGCCTGTCTGGGCAGGTGTGGTCCCCCACAGGGACTCCACCTATATGTGACTGAGGCACTGGAGAGAATTTAATTCTCCTCATTCTGGCCTCGTCCCTATTAGCTATTCATCAAAAATTGCCTGGCATTTGTGCATTTTTCATTACAAGAGTCAACATTTGCTACGCTAATAAGCAAGGGGCTGCTCCTCTCCTCTCAGACATAGAATATGTAACAACATGGCCCCTTTGATGTTGCTCAGCCAATACAATATGTCTCTGAATGAGGATGAAAGCTGGCTGGTTAGGGCCAGATTTCAGGGTGAGGGGCAGGGTGGAACTCAAGAGGACAGTACGAGGACTTCGGAGGAGGCAGAGAAGGTGAAGGCCCTGCTCCTATGCCCCGGGGCATGCTGGGGCCTCCGTCCTGCCTCAACCTTGCGGGGAGACAGGGTCTTGCCACTTTGCCCAGGGAGGACTCAAATTTGTGGTTCTCCTGCTCAGCTTCCCAGAATGCTAGGATTACAGGCATGAGCCACCACACCCTGCTCTGATGTGATTTTCATTGTCACAGGAATCTGCTGGGAGAACAATAGATTAAGGCAGATCAGGAGGGATACCTGTGTAAAAATAAAAACCCTACCACAGAAATCCTGCTAAGTACTGGTGGTCTAGGACTTGGGGGCTAGCAGAAGAGAGGATGGAGACAAGTGATAGATTTGAGAGCTATTTTGAAGGGAAGAATCCCAGATGTTTCTGTTGAGTTGTGTGGCTGTGAAGTGTGGGTCTCATACAGGTGTGACTGTTAGCACTGTCACCTGCACCTCTCGGCTTGTCAGAGGGGTTGGTAGCCTGATGGCCACCAAGGTGGTGCATAAATCCTTGCAGAAATTGCCTTCCTAGTCCAAGTCACTTACAAAAGCCCAGGCTGCAATTATAAAGCTTCATAGCTGTGCAGCATCCATAAAAAGAGGTAATTTTAATATTTGGTTCAACTTCAAAGCAGTAACTTAGAATTATATATACCCCATTAAAATATAATGTTTTCCCCCAAAACTAATCAAATGACTAAATCAATTGTTGGTGGATTGCCAGTGGCCTGAGGATCAATGGGAATAGAAAATGTATTTTATATTTTCCTTGTTACATAGAGTTAGAGCGCATATTTTATTAATGTTCATCCTTTAGAGACCAGATTTGTGTGTTCGCTAAAATAAATACTACAATCTTTAGGGACTGGCTGGACGGAGAGTGCAGAAGTAAGTGCCCAGAGCTGGGCTCTAGGAACCTGAGTCTCGCATC